GCCATACAAAGTTCTGTAAAATTAATGTGATTTATTAAATCTCATGCATGCATCACGTCCAACACGTAATACTTTATACTTTTTAATTCTTTATAATTCTCTTAAAATAAACTGAACAAATGTGCATTCTAATTTCACATGTAAAGCCAGAACCCTAGATGGTCATCTTACCCTAGATGGTCATCTTACTGCCTAAAACTAAGAAAAGCTTTAAAGAGCACAGACAGAGACAATAAATTACTCACAATAGACTTGGTGAAAGTCGACTATAGTTGGTCTGCCCTGCTTACAGTTGTAAAAGTGACTTCTAAGAATTCCTTCATTCAAAAACTGAAGAGCTAATGAAGTGATGTTGATCCCAGCAATGGCATAGGAAAACCTAGTACGAACAACAATAAACAGCCACTAGTAAGCATAACAAACATCTTTCAACCAATTATCATTTTAAGTGTGTCGCATGGAGTGTGATACACTCATGTAATAGACAGGCAGTTACATGAAACCAACTCTGTTTATTGCAAACTAATTAACATTGTTAAGCTTACCAAAAATGTGGATGGTGAGACTGGGACAAGACCTTTCTAGCTGCAGTTGTGTGCTTTGATGCAAAAAATCTAAAAGAAGAGATTAAAACTAATATTGTATTGTAGATATTAAGATTAATATTGTACACTTGACTGCTTTAGTTTAGAGTACATATAAACCTCGTTGTTGTTGTTGTTGTTATTGCTGCAAAACTATTAAATAATTATATAGAGCATTTTTCAATTGAGTGTTGTAAAACCAAAACCATGAACCAATTACCTACCAATTAGACTACTCAGCCAATCTCAAACCATAGTAAAACCAAAACCAAAACCAAAGTAATTGTCTAATTACTTTGGACACTCAATTGAAAACTGCTCTAGAGGTCAAATACAACACAAATCAAATTATGTGCTATACAGGAACTTAAACAAAACAATTACGTTGCATTCAGACCCTGTGTTATTTCAAGGTGGATGACCGAGAAATTTCTTACTTCAGACTCCACTAATGTAAAAAGTGTCCACTGGTCATCATAGATAATGTTGGGGAGAAGACAGTGGTTGTGGATTAAAATCTAAAAAAAATTCTAGTCAACCAGATCTTAGATTCTATCTACAGTATTTCTGTACATGTACTGATTGAACAGAAAATCATTTCAAAAATAGGCAAGCACAGGGCACACTGCACTGTATATATTGTGTGTGTTTCCAAAAAATATATTAGATCATGAAATTTTATTGTCAAGTTTAAAACTCAATTAATATACTTACAATAAATTGTCAAGTGCAAGGACACCTAAAATATAACAACAGAGATAAAAGTTAATGTGACACAAGAATCAGAGCTCAGGACATTCAGATTTTATATAGCTTGAACTATTTATTCCTAGAGACAAACTTTGATTTACATGGCCATTTTTCAAATGTGTTGTTCTGGAAAATACCAGAAAAAATCCATAACCCTCCCATGCAGAGTTTTTTGGTATGAACTCCCCTGCCCCCCACCCCAAAAAACCCCTCAAATTCTAGTCTTGGTTCATACTTTCCTTCAAAAATGTTGGCTTTTGAAACTCCCTCCTATGTGGAAATTCCAATACATGTAACCCTCCTTGGGATGGGTATGGATATTGTCTGGAGCCACAGAATGGAAGCTAATAATTATTTGAATCGCAATGCATGTGTACAGTACTTTCAAGTTGTAAATTTTGTATACATTCCTGCACTCTGGGGAAATTCTAACTTTCAAGCCAGTCTGTGGATGACACCCTTATGATGCTTGCGTTTATGAGTAGTGATCTCAGTGTCTGAAACAATTCACTACATACCCATTCCCCTGAAGTCAGTCTGTGGGTCCTTTCCTTGAAAACCAAGATCTCCCCATTGTTTGGTAATTCTCTCCTCTAACAGCGTGTCGGGCATCATTAGGTCCCAAAGCTATGGTGGCAGAACATGAAAATGGTCAGTTTACTGCAGCAACTGATAAAAGCAAGTTTTACACTGGGCCAAAGCTTCCCATACATTAATCTGGTCACCAATGGGCCACAAAAATCTGGCCATATTAACAGAGTGGCCGTTTTGAAGGGGTTCTTTTAATAATACAATGACTGACTGAGCTTCTGTGCGGGCCAGAATAAAGTGGCTGTAATAACAAGGTCGCCATTTAACAGGGTGGCTGCATTAGACTTAGCGGGGTGGCCATAAGGCACTGTTCCACTGTCTTTAGGACGCTGCATCTTATAGTTGCAGCCAAAGGACTTTTTGAGTTTCGTTTTTTGGATTTTAGTCACAAATTCAAAATAACAAAGACTTCAGTTGTCACCTGCATTAATCTCTTTTCATGACTTGCATTGTCAGATGAGTATGGCTCCTTTCTCAACTGCTCAGCTTCATGACAAAGGTCTGTGTAACCACATATCTGATTCAAACAGATGAACATGGAATCTGCAAAACTGAAGGGGTTTCATAATTTAATTAATATTTAGACCACACCATAAACAAAACTTACAATGAAACTACCCCGGTCGCACAAACAACTCAATCTATTTACTGTAACCTCAAGCCTAGCTGCCAAGGCATCTCAAAATAGTCCAGAAAAAGTAACATTGTCTCACAGAAATAGATATTTTCTTTCAAATTAAAATCACTTACACACTTTCCTGTGCTCTGTTTATTTTCTTCACTGTTAATATCAATGTGAGTGCCTCCTGTATGTTCACATGAGCTGTGTTCACAAGTTCAGAGAGTTCCTAACAAAATAAACATTAAAGAAAGAATTATAAAATACATGTACTACATAATTCAGTTGTAAATAATCTATAATTTGTATTCATAAGTTGAGTATAAATTTGATGATAAAAAAGGACTGTAAATTTGTAAAATAATAAAAATAAATTTTGATCACCTGACTCAAACAAACGCCAACTTCAGTTCAACGAAATTACTCTAAATTACACTTAATAAGCACTGTAAACTAACCTTGGTTCTTGATTGCCTCAAGGACTTTTCTGGTGGAAAGGAAAATTAAAAGTTAAAATAAAAGATTATCATTATGATAAACTAAGCCTTTCAGTCTCTATAAGTTCCAAAGTATTTCAAATAACCTTTTAAACAATATTTCTTAGCACTAAATAAATGTACTTATTGCTTTCTTCATGAATATTTAGAACAGAGTTGTACACATACATGTACCTAAAAAAAATATTAATAAGAGTTGACCACTGAGATGGCCGTGCTTGAGCATATATACATGTATTGACCACCAACATCCCCACAAGTGTGGGACAAAGAAAAAATCTGAGTCCCTAACAGGAATCGAACCCATGACCTCCTGAACACCAGGCAGGCACTCTATCCACTGAGTTACAAGAACGCATGGAGAGCAAGCTCATTTAACTGAGTTCAAGCGTGACAGCCACCCTGCATACTGCTGGATCAATATTGTAATACTATCTTACCAACTCCGCCTGTTCTTGAGGCTCCATGTCTTGTCTTGTAACAGATGCGCTGCAATTCACATTGTCGAGTGGAAAAATGGAGAAAGAGTTTTACAAGCCGTCGATACCAGAAGCAAAAAGAAAGATATCTCCAGAAATCAGCCATTGTTATATCATCTGCTGGCTTCTGAAGAAAAACCAAAAAATCTGTATCAATCTGGATTTGATCGACAACAGGAATTCCCATTCTTGAAAAAATTCAAAAACACAATTCAGCTACAAATGAATATATTATTAAAGAATTTTCATCACAGAAGTAATAATTAAACTGTTTGTGGTTAAAATTTTGACGAAATATCTGCCATCAGTTGAGTGAATAACAAAAACTACTGTGATTGTTTTAAGAACTCAAACCAAGCATATCCTTTACATGTAAAGTGATCTTAACATCATACATCAAGAATGTACATGGATGATGTACAGTATCCAGCTTTTGATGAATCTCCCATATACTGCCTTCAGTTTGGCTATGCATAACTTATTTCAAAAACTGATTTTGCAAAACATTTTCTAATAATTCACATCTTAAAAAGTACCATTACATAGTTAATTTGATCACTGCTTCAGAAACACTCATGGCTAAACAACATCAGCCACAAAAATGATAAAAAAAACATAAAGAAGACTTATTTTCTACAAATTCCCTGACTCAATTATTTTGTTTTGGATACAAGCTTAAAATTATTTACCGTTTGATATTAGTAAACAACTATCTTAGTTAATTAAAAGATTTGGAACAACCCACTGAAAGTAGTTATTGTTTGAAAGGACTGGACTATTTACGACCTGCACAGCAAAAATAACTTGCAAGCGAAACTACACTCATCTCTTTGGGCTAAAAAATGCAAATGCTTCTATTGATACTCAGAGATGTAAACTTGAATTTCACCCAAGACATGCAACATTTATGTTCTGATATATTTCCTAACACAGCGTGCTACTACATACAGCTTTTAAGCTTCCTTACCTACACATCAAAACAACAAAACAGAAATAAATTAAAGCAATATCTCTATCATACCATGCTGCTGCTGGGAAAGTAACCAAAACAACCTTGTTTATAACCAGGTAAAAATAGCAGAACTAAAATCAACTCAGTCAGCTAATTTCGTCAAACTTGGATCTTAAATTACTGAGCGATATTTCCTCGACCAACACTTGGAGATTTTCAAATTTTTGGAATTTGGGCGTGATATATGAAAGCACTCATGACTCGTGTTAATACCATGTATTGCATTTCCACGCACGCCTTAGCCGGAAAACCTAAAAGCCTGTAAAAACTCAGCAAGGAAACCCCTCTCTCGTCTAGACTACAAGAACGCTTTTGTCTAAGATTCTAAACACATTCAATTTGTTCCACCAAAACTACATAGTGCTCACCGACTAAGAAGGTTCTATAAATTCAAAAACTAATGCTACAGACGAAGCCTGTTGGTCGGTGCACATTTAATCATCTTTGGTCATCTTTCCACACTGATCAGTGATGGCACCGCATGCAAACATGGCGTACTAAAGGTCGATCCGGAAAAGGCGATGTTTTGTAACAGGTTAACACCTTCTGGACGATCCATTTTTAGAACAAAATCGCTATACTTACTCTCTGTGACGCAAATTATTTCCTGTCAACTTAACTGAACCATGGAAAGAAGAAATAAGCCGCAAAAATACTCCCTGGAAATCTGCTGATCGTGTCAAAAGAAAACATTTCCACATGATTCAACTGCTGACCAGTATTTCTGACGTCATTCGGAGAGGCGCACCCCCTCCCCGTTCGGGATCCGGTAGTGTTAGTTCCCGCCAAACGAATCGAAAATCGCGCTCTTTCGTAATGATCCAGGTGATCTGTAGACTCAGACGTTTAATCGGCGGCAGAAATAAAATATTAATTATTAATCAACTAAGAAGGTTAAGAAGGTGTATACATAATTTTCGTCGCACTTTAACCGGGAGTCATGCATGGAAAACCACGATTACAGCTCCTGATCCTACAAAGTCTACACCTGGATGACGCAAAAATAACCTCGGCCTCCCCAGATTCCTCGGGCCACCTCCGCCGCTTAGGCCTTTACAGATTGCTTGTGGAACCTAATTCAAGCCCACAATATCCTCTATGACTTGGCCGGGCTCTAGGATAATACGAATTCTCGACATTTTTGCAGGGGGAGTGGCTTCACAAACTAATCTGCGGTTCAGTATGTAAACTGTTCAAAGATAAGAAAGCTAAAAAGTAATTCTTTTTTTGTATAACAACTGTTGATAACAGGCGAATCCCAGTATGAGATTCTTTTTTTCCAAGATTTTCCCACCAATCCTTTTAGTTCATTTAATTTCTTCCATCATTTGTCAGTGCACACAACTATCAGGCTAAAAAGCCGGTAAGAAGCTAAGGGAAGCCAAATTTAAAATAAAGCGCATTTTTAATTTGCTCATATAAATAAGTACTGTAGAACTTTAAGAACTTCATTGTGTTGAGATGGAGTGGCGTGAATGTGGTTTTTGGCGTGATATTAAACTGTTAGGTCTCAAATTTTGAAATCTTCAGTTTCAAATGAAAGTGAAAATAATGTTTGGAAATTGAAAGTTTCTATGATTTTAACGTGTAAGGAGTTAAGTAATAGTGGGATTAGTGGTTATTGATCTACAATGAATGTTAAAAATTGTCAAAAGAACTAACGCCTGCATTCAAGCGCAGAAACTTTACCACTTTACGTCGAACGCCGCACTCGAAAAAAAGGAGGAATTTTGCTAAAAATATAATACAAGAGTCTCGATGAACAGGTCTTCTCCAGTGATGAGTTTCCACGTGAGTAAGTGCGTCAACCACAGCGCCCGAAAAAATTCTCGGTGGGTTGGGGGAGGGGTGGATGGAAGGGGAGAGCAAGTTTGCTTCGACTAAAGCATTTCTTCTGCATGACACCCGGCATGTACCCAGGAAACTAACACAAATTAGGTTTGCGCTCTCCTTCATTCGAATGCAACTAATTAAGAAATAGAAAACATGTACCGTGTTTCTATCGAGTTTTAGCATAAGTCTACTGGCGTTCTATCACGAACGGCTTTACAATTTCTCTGATTGGCTACGCTACCGTCGCACTATCTATTCACACTGTGAATAGTTGGGTGTTGTTGGCTCAAGTTTGAAAATTGTCAAATTTTTCATGCGACAGTTGTGGTTGTTGCGTGATGTTGTACTCGTTTGGCCAGGGTCCATTCTTGTCCCTAGAACCTCCGTTTCTTTTGGTCGCGTGGTCGGCGAAACTAGTCAACGACATTTTAAGACGAGCAGCACTGGGGACGAGAATGTCCAGGTTCGTGCAACAATGTTGCGCTAGGGCATGCGCACTAGTTTGATTTGCAACACCCAACATGTCGCAACACGTCGCAACAGGAGGACCAAACGCACGCAACATGTTGCGCCCAACAATGTTGCGATATGTTGCTTTGAAATGTTTAGATTTAAGGCTGGTTTTCACTAGCGACGGAGTCGTAGTCGGAGTCGGAAGCAGAAGCGTTGAGCGATACGATCTAGTGAAAATCAAACTGACGGAGTCGGAAGCAGAACACCCATTCCGCTTATGACTCCGTTGCTAACGATCTAGTGAAAACAAGATTGTCGGAGTCGGAAGCAGATGCGGAAGATTGAACCAATCTTATAATGCTCGATTCCGAGCCTTGAGATTGGTTGGTTCTTCCGCTTCTACTTCCGACTCCGACAATCTAGTTTTCACTAGATCATAAGCGACGGAGTCGTAAACGGAATCGTAAGAAATGGAGACGTTCTGATTCTTCCGACTCCGATTCCGTCGAGCTTATGACTCCGCTTACGACTCCGATTTTCGATTTTCACTAGGTCGTAAGCGCTCTTACGTCTCCGACTACGACTCCGACTCCAACTCCGTCGCTAGTGAAAACCAGCCTTTAAAGAGGAATTTCTTTCTATGTCAACATCATGGTGGATTTGTAATTATTCTGTATTTAAGCCCCTTACATTGTTCGCTTACTGCATTTGTTATAGATTGTAACATAATATCAATTAACTGTCCAGTCCAAGAGACCTTTTGTCCAAACAACTGTGTCTTAGAAATAAATGCTTACATGTTTTAATACCTCAGTACTCGTAGGAAAAGTGACCTTCACCAACCAAAGCTAAAACTTAACCTTGGCAACCGTACTTTTAGATTTTCAGGATTCGCTTCCAGCAAAAATTCAAAGAGCAGGGTCACTTTCTTCTGTTAAGCTTTTTATTATCTTTTACCCTAAATCGAAAAGGCACCCTCGTTTGACTATAGCCCACCTTTTTTTTAGCATTTTTTTATCATATACATGTATTTTCCTAGCTTTAAAAATTCGATTTTATAACTATGTATATTTGTAATTTTTACGATTGTAATATTTATTATCAGGGCCTCTCTGGATACCAGCCATAATGCTGAATGGGCCACCCTGGCTAAATAATGGTTTACTGCACTTTACTAACAACACAATACAATACAACACAACACAATACAATACAATACAATACAATACAATACAATACAATACAATACAATACAATACAATACAATACAATACAATACAATACAATACAATACAATATTTAAATAGACTACTTACACTATTTAACCTTGCAAATATTGGGCCCCAGTTATACGGTCTCGGGTACCCGAGACAACTCGATCCCCGAGGCAACTTTGGCGAGCGTTTATATGTGAAAACGAAGTTCCTGTGCGCCGAGTCAAAGTTGACCCTGCACGATCATTCATAACCCATATAATTGAATAATCAAATGTGCAAATATCCCTCTTTCTTTGAGTTCCCCTTGGTCATTCGATGACAGTGGGTTTTGCCGAGTTAATTTTCACTTCTCTGATACGAATTTCTGCTTTAAATCCTAAATCTAGGCATTACGTGACACTCGCCACGCCGAGAGTTGTCCCGGTTAGGCATGCCAAAGCGTTTATATGAAGAAAAGCTGTCCCGCTTGCTAGGGTTACCCTACCTGGCGAGGCGAGACAACTCGCCTACCCGAGTTGTCTCGCCCCCCGAGACGGGGCCGCGATCCTAATGTAAACGGTTGGTTGAATTTTGTAAAGAAATAAGCTAAAACTTACCTCGGCCAGGTTAACTCGGGGGGAGGGTTGTCTCGGGTACCCGAGACCATATAAGTGGGACCTTACATTATAAGGACGCGGTTACTCTTGCGTTGTAAAAAAATACAACAACTAAAACTGCTAACGATTCTTACTTATACATATACTTAAACTAATACCTAAATAGCAACACCTCTAGTAGCTAGACATTTTTTTGTACTATCGTTAATTATTTTAATACTGGAAGGCGTCCGTCAAAGGGGTTCCACTTCTTTTTAAAAGAATTAAGGGTGCTGTTATCCAGAGCTATTTTCTTTTCAATTCTCATGGAGGTTAACAGTAGTTGTACACAGTACAATGCAATACAATACAACGCAACACAATACAATACAACACAACACAATATAATACAATTCAATTCAATTCAATTCAGTTCAGTTCAGTTCAGTTCAGTTCAGTTCAATTCAATATCAATTCAATACAATACGATACAATACAGTACAGTACAGTACTGGTTTAATGTGAATATACGCTTAGCTATGGTGATACACTACAATAGTTTATCAGCTAGTTTACAGGTACATCACTAGAAAAGAAATATTAAAATACAATGAATATGGAGTTTTTTAATTTACAGGTATTTACGTAATGCCTAGAATAACTAGTGGTGTTAAAGTACATTCGATACAATTTCAACTAAACCTAGGCAGAGAGAGGGGAGAACTGAAAAAAAGTCTTTCAGATCTACAAAATAGGTAGACCAAAGTTTCAGTAGTTTCCCCACAGAAGGAACAAGAATCCACTTATTTTATGCCTATCTTACAGAGAAAATCATTTGTCGCAATTCGTTTATGCAGAAACTTGAACTGGAATACTCCGAGCTTTGTTTGTTTTGTACAGGGGAATGGCAGATAGTAAGAGTTTCTCCAATTAACAGTCAAATCTCCTACTCTATCCCCTTCGGAAAGCTATTTTACTTGACTGTGTAATGGTGTAGAGGCCTTGTCTTGCGCAAGTTGTCTGTAAGATTCTGACAGAAGACTCGCTGCGTCATTTGAAGGTGGGTAATCTAAGAGTAGTGAACATGTACTTTCTTAAATTGTTATGACATTTTAAATATTACATTTAGCGGCAAATTCATTATGGTTTTCTCTAACCTCTTTTACCCCTGCCTTAAGCCAATAGATGTATAAAAAAAAAAAGGTCTTCACTTCACTGTACTGAACTGCACTGCACTGCGCTGCGCTGCACTGCACTGCACTGGACTGCACTGCACTGGACTGCACTGCACTGCACTGCACTGCGCTGCGCTGCACTGCACTGCACTGCACTGCACTGCGCTGCACTGCACTGCACTGCACTGCACTGCACTCGCATAGATTGGTTAACAATCGTGTTTCTATCTAACAATTAGATTATGAGCTCGAGATTTATATCGCGTGATAATTCAGTGACGAGGGCGCCGGCTGCCCGAGTCAACTATCACGCACAGAAATCGA